ATTCAAGCCAAAATTCACTGATGCAGACATAAATCCATGAAACAAATTATTTTATCATCTCAGGAAGACAATTATTAGGGCGTGGAGAGAGCAGGAAAGCCACTTCAAGGCATTCCAGGGCCTGACCAGAAACTAAGGTCAAATCTTGAAATAATGCTGTTAGATAGCATACGTCAATACGTTTTCAGGCCAGCCTGCGCACGGCCTCCGCTGGCTCACGGCTTCCTCGAGAGGACCAAAGGAGCCCTGCCTGTTCCTGGAAGTGCCGCATGCAACAGTCCCGCCTTGCAGTGCCGAAGGTGATTCACACCAGCACGCAGGCGGTTCGTGAGCCACCACACGTAGTTGCCCAGGGCGCAAGGGCACAGCGTCTTGCATCCACAGGGGATGTCTCCCTCTGCTGGAGGGACTGCTGGGCCCATACGCTCCTCGGGGCACCGGCTGCCCGCTCTTCACCCCAGCAGCAATGCTGCAGGGACCCGCGGGTGGCACTCCGAGGTGCAGGGGCTAGTGAGCCCCAGGCCTAAACAGGGACAGGGGCCTCTAGCCACATTTCCCCAGTAGCTGATGGGAAATTGATTTATGTTCCTTTTAGAATCCTGGACCCCAGGGGGGGCCGTCCTGACTGGGGGAAGACTCAGCCCAGAGAAAAGGAAGGCTATCTTGCCACAGCATGTAGTTAAACTAAGGAATTCATTCCACGGGACGAGGCGGCAGCCACCAAGGGCTTTAAATGGGGATTGGAGAATTCGTGGAGAAAAGAGTTCGGGGGCACTTGGGTCGTGGGGCTGGTCATGGATGCCGTGGGTGCCTGTGGCCTTCAGGATGTGCTTGTGGGTGTCCGCTGGGCAGCCGGTCGGCCCGCGTGCACAGAGTGCAGGTCCTGCCCTTGGCCTGACCGGGCCCGGACCGTCTTCGGCTCTCACACGGCGCAAAGTACTGGGGAGGCACCGACTCCGGACAGGAAACTCAGACCTGCTCCTGGGCGGCTGAGAACGGCTAGAACTGGCTTGCTGGCCAGAGCAGCACCTCTGCCTGGATGCTCCTTTGGGATGCAGCTATGGGGACGGCCGGGGCTTCTCGGTGTACCCCTGCACTGAAGGCTTGCGCACCATGTCAGACCGCCAGGTGAGCCTCACGGGGGGCGGGGGGGGGGGCTGCCACGGGCTGGTTGCCCCATCCCTCCCTCTCGGCATCGGTCCAAATTGGTGCTGGGGCAGGCAAACAACACGTGGTGGAGCTCAGCCGTGGCTGGGGTGGGGAGCCTGCAGTCCTCCAGACAGTACGGGACTCCAGCTCCCATCACCTTCAACCCAATGCCCAAAGTCAGGCCACTGCACCGCCTGTGCATTCTTCCTCCGGGTGCCGCAGCCCCTGTCCTTGCTTTCTCCTGCTGCTTCTGCGCCTCTGTCCTGGCGGGGAGGCCCGCGGCCGGCCCAACCGGTTCTTTTGGAAGCCCTCTGTGCCGATTTACACGGGACGTGCGTCTGCACCGAGGGTTGGAGGAGGTCGGGCTTTGTGTAGTCGGCGCTACACCCGGCCCATTTTCCATCACGCCGGAACCAGGCTGCGCGAGCGGCAGCTTCTTCTCTGCTGTAAAGGTTTCTGTGCAGCATCTTCAGCCAAACACCGGATTTCAGGGCTGAGTACATCGAGCTAAGCAGCTAGACACTGAAACCACAATAGCGAGATTACGCACCATAATTAAGAGGCAGTCTGGAAGGAGGTGGGGAATGAGTCAGCCAGTGCAAAGCATACAATTTAAAAGCCCCGGCTGAACTTGGAGTCTTTTGACCTAGTAATGGAAAACATACCACACTGGCGCAAGTCAGACCTCCTTTGAGGGGGTACCCCAGAGACGGGGTGTCATGGCAATGGAGCCCCCTCTCCTGCGAGGGTGCGTTATTCCACTTTCCCCAACGAGGGGATTTGGGGATGGGCTTAAACATGCTCTATTAGCACATGCGCAGGTGGCCTCTTTCCTTCAAATATCGACGCCTCGAGCCCTTCGGGGCCTTCAAGCCCCCAGTCCTTGAACTGGGCACGGGAACAATTCAGCCTCCGGCATAACTTCGCTCCTCCAGAACACCCACATCACACTTCCTTTTCTCTACACAAAATCCATCACCCTTTTCCTGCACAAAACCACCTCAGCTGTTCAGACTTTCCTCACAGGGGAGCTGCTGCAGCCCCCTTGTCCTCCGAGGTCCCTTTTCCGCACCTTCAATACCCTTTTGCAGCTGACGGCCCCGCTGGCCGAGGCACACGCAACGAGGACATCCGGATGAACTTTGAGAACAATCACCTACACATACCCAACAGACACACCTTTGTGTAAAATTTGCATGGGCTATTTTCCAATTATAGTCAAAAGGCTAGAGTATTTCAATGTAAACAGAATTACAGGACATCTTCCCATGGCAGGCAAAGCCCGTGACCGGATCAACTTTGCGTCTGCTCAGGTCATGGCCCCGGTGCTGTTGCTGTGCAACCGGCTTTCCCTTTTAGCGTTCAGTATCTTTATCAACAGGACAAGCGGCCCGCAATCCAGAAGAACCCCAACAGCTGTCCAAACCCAGCTGCAGTGATCGGCTGTTGGGACTTCCGCGATAACCCTTGCCCACATTTTGGGTCTCTTTGGTTGGTCTGATCAAGACGAGAGCCACCTTTAAAGGCAGGCGGCTACAAAGAGGAGGGCCTTTTCGGTAGTGGTACCCATTCATGGAAACCCTTCGTCAGGGAGGTGCACCTGCTGCCAACCTCGTACACATTACACACCAGGTCAAAACCTTTTTATTTTTCTGCTGTTTTACCTGTTGACCAGAGGTGTGTTTTTATCAGGATGACTGGTCGCAATGGCTCAGTATGTCACTTATTCTTTGTTGTGGATGTTCATGTTTGGGAATCCGCTTGTATTTTGTATAGATTTTATGGGCACGTGTGATGTTGTTTTATTGTTTTAGCCATTTGTGAACTGTTCTGAGAGCAAGGCGCTGGGAGAAAAGTCTATAGAATTCTTAAATTAATAATACAAGAACATAATTCTGGAATTATTTGACTACAGAGCAGTCCTCAGTAATATGGGGCACACTGAAAAAAATCTTTAACTGGCAGCCGCCAGTTCAGCTGCACACAAAAGAAACCAGTATCGGGAGGAAACGGGTCTTGCTGGGCGTCCTCGCCTCGCCTCGCCTGACCACGGCCCCCCAGGTCTAAATCAGCCGGACCCATTTTGGCTCTTGCAGCTGCCTGAGACAAATGGCGCCGTGAGTACGGTGCAAACGTACAAGCCGGGAACAAGGACCGCAATCCAAATATTGTGCAAAATTCAGACCGTGATCTCACGGCACACAGGAGCCAGAAGTGTGTGGCCATACGAAGTGGAGACACCAGCAGCTGCAAGGAACCAGCCCTGTTCCTCAAAGCACTTGCAAACAACGATTCCACACCGTCAAGACAGATGCCGTTAAATCGTCATTCCCCATCCTAAAAACACGCAAATCAGGGTGGGCAATTTGCAGCCCTGGCTGCGTTTTGGATTGTAATGCCAGCAGCTCCAGCCAGCACAGGGGCCCACACTTGGCTTTTGTGACTTTTTATATACAGGCCTGAACTCAAGAATAATGACTATGATATTATACAGGCACACAATGCTGTGGGAGAGATGGGTTCTAGTCTCCGTGCTGAGCCAGGCACTGACTCTTAGCCTAGCCTACCTCACAGGGTTGTTGAGAAGATAAAATGGAGTGGATTAGGGGACTCATTAAGGGTTCACGGCAGAAGCAAGGAGGGACAGAAGGTCAAAATAGAAAGCACTCTATGTCGGCACTGTCAGGAAGGCCACCCAGGTGGAGGCAACCGGCAACTCCAGGGCCCAGCACGCCCTGCTCAGGGCTCTCGGTTTTGAAAGCTGGCCTGGCCTGGGCAGCCCTTCGAACAGAGGACGGCCCGGGCAGAGCAGAGCGGCTGGCAGCCTCGGCAGCAGTGGGAGCCGGGCAGGAACTGTGACATCAAGCGCTCGGGACAATCCTGGTGAAGCATCGGGGCGCATGCCAAGGGGGGCAGCAAAATGCATGCCCAGAGCCCTCTGCTGGAGCGGAAGGCACAGCCTTCCACTTCCCCAATCCCAGCACAGACATTCCAGCTGCACGGAACGTAATTCTCCAGTCAAAGAACTTCATTCCCACATTAATTCTAAGCTTTGGCGTACAGCGTTTCCTAAGAATCAGCACTGGAGCAACGGAAGCACGTGGTGGCATCTCGGTGGCTTCCGGGAGGCCCTCATGGGTGGACCAGCGCATGAGCCACTTCTGTCCAGGCACTGGCCGCAGACCCGCAAGGGCTCGCTGAGGAGCAGCCGGGCACGTTGCCGCTTCACCCGTCCCAATCACAGCCCCAGCACTCGTTCGGCTGCTTGCCGAGACGGGCCGACAGCCGCCCCCTTCAGCACCACAACTCCAGCGGGAAGCACCTCTCTTGCGGCACTTGCCGAGGAGGAGGCCCTCCGTCGTCACCCAAGCGGCCCCGCAGCGTCCCCCGCAGGGCTGGAGCAGAGCCGCTCTGGCAGGCGGAGAGGCCCTGCTGGCCAGTGGCGCCTGCACAGGGCGAGGCAGGGCCAGAGTCCGCGTAGGGCAAGGCAGCCCCCGTGGGAAGCCCCCCGGACCCAGCCTGGCTGTGGACGGGCAGGAGCGGGAAGCAGCAGATGGGCTGGGGCAGGGAATGGACTCCCTTGCAGGGCTGAGCAGAGGCGCTCCGGGCCGGGCTGCAGGGTCCTGTCGCGGCAGCAAGGGGCACTTGCTACACGGAGAGGCCTCGGAGAGGGGGCCGAAGGCAGAGCAGCCCAGCGCTGGACGCATTCCCATGACCTTGCTCAGCGTGTGGCTCAGCGTTGGGCCTGCTATCCGCCATCCTCTCTGACTGATTTCGGTCATTTGCCTGATCATTTGCCACCTTTTCGCCTTCAAGAGCTAACAGTCTCAAATAATTTCATCTAACATGTGTTTCCTATGCAATGCTCTCTTTGTTTATTTGCTGTGCTTAACTTCCGGTTGTCTTGAAAGAAAAAGCCTTCCCTGTTCATGCCCTCCACCCCCCCCCCCGCAAGCAGGCTGGTTCTCGGGTTTGAGGGGCTTCTTTAAGGATTCTGGTCATTGGGATCACACTTCAGCATAATTTTTACCCCGACACCCTTCCTGGTTGCCTCGAAAGCCTCCAAGGCCTTTTCCAAAGGGAAGCGATGGGTCACCAAAGGCTGGACGTCCACTTTTTTGGAGGCAAGCATAGCGATCGCCATCGGCCACCTGCAAGGGAACGAGGACAACAGCCGATTAAGGGGCTTCCGGCGTCCGCAGCCGGCGTCACGCAGACCCAGCAGGACTGCCACGTCGGCAGCGCTGCAAACTGGGGCCACACAGGGCCGCTGTGCAGCCTCCTTTCTGCAAATGTTTCGGAGGGCGATTCCCAGCATTCCTGACCACTGGAACCGAAAAAGAACCACGCTGGATCGGGCCGAGGAGCCCTCCGATCCAGCATCCTGGTCCCACAGCAGCCGAGCAGCTGCCTGAGGGAAACGCACCGCAAGGACGCGAGCTCAAGAACAGCCTCCCGATTCCTCGGGATTTCCGTTCACATCCCAGCATGGAGAAGATGTGCCGTTGATTGCGAGGCTCTGGATTCTCCTCTTTAACAATAACCGGTCCGTAAGAGGACCCCTTGTCACGTGCGGAGTTTGCCCAGTGCCTCCGGCGAGCGACTCTGTCAAGAGACTCCGGTGGTCCGAAGGGCAGCATCGAAGGGATCGCCCCACCCATGTTTGTTGACACGCTCAAGGAACTCTGAGCGAGCCCAGGGTAACAAACATGGCTGTTATAGGCAAGGTTATGAGCCCCATCAGAAATCCCTGAGTTCAGAAGTCTTTACTTCTAAGTATATAACTTTGACACCAGGTTGCAGCTGGCAGAGGACACTAGAAAAGCAAAAGCAAATGGTCGCTTTCCAAAGCCCGGAGAAAAGCTACTCCACCAGGAAATCATGTGTGAGATCCCCACTTAGGGGATTTTTAAAGCTCTGCTTTTTAACTCCGTTTGTTCAGTACAGTCTCTCTCTCTGTAGTGGGCAAAATGTTCGGAAGGTGACGCAACATTCACTGCCTGGATTATTGACATTGTACCGAGTGCCGTTCTGCTCCAGTTCAAATATATGTTCCCATACGGTGCTATCGTCCTCACACGCCCCAAGACAAAATGTTACGGAGGACTTGTTCCCTCGGCTGTGCCCTTTTGGCCGCCCCTCAGCCCTCCCCGCTGGCGACAGTTCGGAGCCCATCAAGCTCTTTGCAGAGCTAATGTTTGTAAAAGTGCCTGTCTTCTACAATTTGTCACCTAAGACTCTAGCTGTTTTTTTAATTCATATTCATTTATTTAAAGCTTTTCTATTCCATCCTTCATCAGGGTCTCAGGATGGGAATACAATAAAAATGGTAAGCCCTTTGCATCACCTTTCCATGCAAAATTACCAGATTTGAACTCCCAAACTAAAGCACAAACTGGAACATGGACCTATGTGATTTTCCCAAGTATGGATGTGGTTCAGAAATGTATATGCCAATGCATCTGTATGTATGCATGAGCAAACACACAAACATACATGTATTTGAAGATTTGAAATGTGCAGATTTAAAACTGCATGTACAAATATGTACGTGTGTAAAATGCATGCAGAATGACTCTATCCTATGGAAAAATATACACGAAATATGTATATTCAGAGACCTGCCTACATCTGGGATGACTGGGAGAAATCTTTGCACTGCTGACTTTCCCATGAACGGCTCTGTACATTTAACCCACGGTCTGTGTGTGCCAACCTGCATTACGCAGCTAGAGGGTTCAATCCCGATGCATCGTTCTGCATCAAACAGTGAAGGCCCTCCATTTTCCCCTAGTGCAATTCAGACTAGATCGCTGCTTGGCCCTCTGGCCCAGGATGCACTTACGTGTTGCAGTATCGAAATATCCCTCGGATATCCACTTCCCGCACGGCAGCATTCACGATGGGCAAGGTGACCATCTCGGGCCCCAACCCCACCAAAACCAGAGTTCCTCCGGAGCGGGTCGCCTGCGGGCACAACGGGAGAGCCCACCTCAGTGTGCATCACCCACCAGGTCGGTGGAGGAGGACCGCTCCTGCCGAGGTGGCAACAGCAGCACGAGAAGCAGCGGGGCCTTCAAATCGGCGCCTCCGACTTCCAGAACGGCCAGCGATGAACGCAACACCCTGAGAACGGGGCAGGCCTAACCGGGGGCTTAAAGGACAGTGGCCTCCCAGGACCTGGAGTGGGACCACCAGTCCATCTTGGGCAGTGTTGTGGCCACCAACAAGGGCGACGGCTCGCCAGGTGTCAAGCAGGTGTTCCTGCTCGACTCTGCCCACTCGGCCCCCCTGCCCTGCCCGGACCTCCAACAGTTCCTGCTCTCCTGGCTTCCGTGCAGACATTCTCCCAAACCGACTCACTTCCCCAAGGCAGCAGGAGGAAGAGCACTAGGCAGGGCTATGCTGGTTTTACCAAATGATTGAGTCCTGCCCCTTCTGCGTCTGCAGCCCCCGAGAGGCTGACAGAGAGCCAACCCCTTCTCCATCAGGAGGTGCAACACTGGCCCAGGGGGTGGTCACTCCACAAGCAGGGGCGCTCACGTAGATTCCCGCCTGGAGGGAAGCCTGCGCGCCACTGCACTCCACGGTGATGTCCGGCATGCAGCCAAGGCTGGCTTTCACCATCTCAGCCACGTCCTCGGGACTCTCATTCTTCACCTGGATGGTGAAATCTGCCCCCATCTCCTTGGCTTTTTCGAGCCGTGGAGCAGACAGATCTACAAAGGAAAAATGCAGGTTTGGAAACAGAATGAGCTCTTCCATTGGACAAGCAGGGAAGCGACAGCCGTTCGGTCAAACCCGGCTGCCCTCTCGCACACCTGTGTAGAAGCACTCGCGCAAGAGCCGGGAGGGAAGGGGAGAAATGAAAGGAGTGCCCCCGCAGCGGTGCCGGAAGGGCCCTGCTTCTCCCGACCCCCGGGTTGCATGGCCAGTCCTCCCACCTCCCTTTGTCCGCTGGGAGAGGAGACGTAGCCGGCCAAGCCAGACGTGGCGAGCTCTTCTCGCGGGCAGCCAGCAAGCCGCTGGGCATCGCTTCCTCCTCCGCCCATGCACCAAGAGGGCTCCACGTGCAGATGACGCTTCCAGAGCAGCTTCTCCAACCTGGTGGCCCTCAGAAGCACTTAGACCACAACTCCCAGAATTCCCACCCAACAAGGCCATTGGGAAAGGAGCCACATAAGAGCTGGGAATGCACCAGAATATCCCTGGCGGGGGAAGGGGTGAGACCCCCCAGGAGAAGCCTGGAGGACCAGGCTGTGACTCCAAGCCAGCTCAGTTTGGCTGGCGGGCCCCCCTCATGCCTGCCCCACATCCCGCTCCCTATAGCCTGCGCTTTCCGCCAACCGTGCTCGGCAAACAGGGCAGCGCTGGGCCGGAGCGAGGCTTTGCACAACAGCCTCAGACTGCAGAATTAACATCCCCCCTGTGCAAACAGGAGAGAGTCGGCGTCAGCTCAAGGGCCATCCTGTTTACAGAGATTAGAGCCCAGTGTGGGCCGCGGCTCGTTCCAGCCAAGGCGATCCGGCCCACGAAGCCTTTGGGCACAATGAACGTGTTAGCTTTTAAGGTGTTTCAAACTTTTTGTTCCCTGATTATTAAGATCTCAAGAAGAGATTCACATCCACCGAAGAATTGTTCGGCTGTGCATATTTGAGCTCTGTGATGAAATATCACGGATTTACTGTGCCTCTTGCATGCGATGACATCTTGACCCAGCTGCTTGCTCCCCTGCCGCCCTCCCACCGTCTCGCTGGACTGATCAAATGTCATGTGTTTGCCGACTGTGGGCAGCATTCCGTGCAAGTGACCAAGTGGGCACCAGTCCATGAAGGGTCACGCTGCTTTAAAGCTGCAATCCTACACACACGCCTGTGGCCCTGCCAAACTCGGCACGGCCCCGAAGCACATTGCGCCTCTGCTAAATTAATTGTAGTGGTTAGAGAGTCAGCCTGGGCCTGGGAGACCGGAATTCTCTTTGCCACAAAGCCATGAAGCTCGCTGAGGAGCCTGGCCCAATCACAGACCCCCAGCCTGGCCTACTTCATAGGGCTGTTGTTGTGAGGGTAAGATGAAGAGGAGGAGACTGATGCGAGCCACTGGGCCCCTTGCAAGGGGTAAAAGCGTGGGATATAAACATCGTGCAACAAGAATAACGATGGAGCTAATTATCAGCTTTCCACCTGAAACAGTCGGCAGTGGGCACTGCCTGTGATTTGAACTTCTTTATTAATTCTTTATCCTGCCTGTTTCACTTTGCGAGGTGCAAAGGGGGTGGCATGGTCCTCCTCCTCCTCTCCATTTATCCTCCCAACAACCCTGTAAGGTAGGTTAGGCTGAGTGTCCATAGCAAGCCAGTGAGCTTTATGGCTGAGCGGGGACTAAAACCCACATGCCCCGGTCCCAGTCCAACACCCCACCTGCCTCGCCCCACTGGCTGTCTCTCCCGGGAACCACGGAAGCGGCGATCCTTGGCTCGCCCCCGGCCTTTCCCGTCCGAAGCCCACGTGAGCGCGGGGGACGGAAGCGCCCAGCCCGCGGGGCTCCTTACCGCTCATCGCCACCCGCGCGGCCCCCATCGCTTTCGCCATGAGCAAGGTCACAAGCCCAATGGGTCCTGCAAGAAGAGCAGAGAGGGAGGGGGCAGAGAACGGCGGCCTGTTTATTCGTTGCACAAAAGCTTAAGCTGCTCTCCCACAACCGTTTCCAGTACCTGTAACAACAATCGGAAGAGCACAATCACAGAGCAGGACCACAAAGCTGCGAGGACACCGTGTCCTGCGGCAGAGGGGGGAGTGTGACGAGGACAAGCAGCAAGCGCAAGGCTTTGGCGAGTCCTTACCGGCCCCACAGATGAAGACTTGGCTGCCCAGAGTCACCCCGGCTCGTCTGCAGGCGTGGATCCCCACCGAGAGCGGCTCCACAAGGGCCCCCTCCTCAAAGCTGACGTTGTCTGGAAGCCTGCAACGAAGCGACGCGGGGAACTGTTGGGCGGAAGGGGAAATGCAGGCCCAGTTCTCCACTTCCAGAACGGACGTTCTAAATGCATCCTATGGAATGGCAACCTATAATATGCCATCAGGCCTTCCAAAGGCCAACGGTGGAAGAAGCGCTGCGCATTTAGGCCTTTCACAGGCCAAACTATCCACTCCCTTCCTCTTAGTTTGGTCAAAGCTCCTGCCCCTGTTCTGAGATGCAGCCGTACACCCACTAAGACGTGGGTGATTTAACCTTAACGCTGGAGATGCCTCTGAATTATTGACTTGGGTTATAGGAAAATTATTGGTGGTATGATTGGTATTATTGGCAATTTATGTATCCAAGGCTGCAATTCTATGCACGTTTGGACAGGAAAAAGGACATCAAGGCGGCCTGGGCACCCTGGGAGGTGTGGAACCTTCTTCTGCCAACACTGCGCAGGAAGCATCCCAAAGGAAGTGTGATTTCTTCTGCTGGGGGACAGATGTTCACTTAACACCCATCTATGGTTTTTCCTCTCTCTCTCTCTCTCTCTCTCCCCGATCCTTTCAGTCTTAGCAAATCCTGTTTCTCTGACTAATAATGCAAGAAGCCACTGGGCAACGGTCCATAATCTTGTCATTCATTACTGGCTATTAAGAGATTTAGTGACACTCAGAGAACTGAGGATAAATCTTATGCCAGCTGCCAAACCCTTTTCGAAGCCACACATGCAATTACACCCCAAAGCTCTTGGCCACAAGAAATCCAACAAGTTGATTGAGTGCGGGGACAAAATCACCTCCTTTGTTTTAAACATGAAGCTAATCTCATGCATGCACCTTCACTCACAGTCTGTCTTAGTTAATGCTTCATTTAATGCTGAAGAATCCTAGCATTTTAAGAAGACACCTAATTGCTAGACTCCTGCTTTTTTTAGAACAATTCCTCGGGCACTTTCTGAATTTTTTATAGACACACAGACCCTTTTATTGTGTCACAGCACCAGCAACATTTCTCAACCTGTTAACCAGAAATCAGGAAACTTGACATTTGCATGGGGAGAGAGGCGGAAAACAGAACAACACACACTGTTCAAGAGGGAATATGTAACAAGATCACCCAAGACAGCTGTGAGGTGCTCCATATTATTGTTTTCCCCCATTGCAGTTCCTAAAAGTTGTGCTGTAGCGAATATAAACATACGCAACCATTAAGAAAGCAAGACAAAGCTTGTTTCTTAGAGGAATCCTGCACAATAGTTCCAGAATCCATTTAAGTGGGTCCAATTCAGGGATTCTTTCCAAGACCCAGAACATACACAGGCCTGGTTTGTACACTAAGATGAGGGGCGGGTGATTGTCACCTGGTTCATTATCACATCTGGATCCTTCCCTACAAACAAGCCATGCTTTCTTAATCAACAACTAGAGAGAGACCCCGTAGTTAGTTGCTGTGTTGTGAACTCTGGTTTAAGCCCCAGCATGTTCTAATATCTGAACCCAGGACCATTCCTGGCTTGTTTGCACTGCTGTCTTGAAAACAAAACACTCCCACAGGCTGGCAAAATGTATAGGAGAAAAAAATATGGAGAACAAGCCACAGTTTCTTTACTTGTCTGAAAGGCAACTTGCGGCTAAAGCAACTGTCCATGATTAACATAAGCCATGTTGTATTACATCTGAACTCATCTGCAATCTCTACCCACAGACGTGCCACTAGCAGTAGTAAAGTTCACAACTGTCCTCAACTGGTTTAATTTTTATGGTGCAACATCTAGAAATATTTTCAGTCAATTGCCAATGGGCGGAAGTCAACAGAAACTCTTAAATGCCACTTTTACTAGAGCTGAAAACAAAAAGAGCACCGTAGAATGATGATGATGAAGATGATACACCAACCTTCCTGTTTAGTTCTTTGTTAAGCTAGTATTTCCTATTTTATCCTGCAACTCATCCATGCCATCCTCTGGCCTAGACCGGTAAGAGCAAAATTCCTCTCCCTTTTCCATTTCCCTCCTACCCAGAGGAAGAATTCCGTATGGCTGCCCTCGCTCCACAAGCCCCGGTCCCCCGTGGGAATTTGCAACTAACTTGTAGCAAAAGTTGGCATCGTGCTTGTAGTAGCGGCACAGGTTCCCATCGTCAGGTGGGGTGGCGCAGAAGAAGATGGTGGGGGACAGGTTGTACCGCCCGGTTTTGCAGTATTCATCCACCTCCCGGGGGACTCCAGGCTCAATGGCCACCCTGTCACCTGCGGGACAGTCAGAAATGCAACAGCGCCGAGTCCGTCATGCAAAGAGTGGATCTGTTGGTGGACTTCTGCAAACCGAACACGTGCATGTGGTTTATATTTTCAGTGTTTTATATTTTAACTGATGCTTTGTAAGCCGCCCCGAGGCTTCGGCGAATGGGGCGGCATAGAAATTTTTAAATAAATAAAATAAATAAAAATGTGTCTTATCTAGGTGAAATATACATGTCCTACTTCTGTCACCCAACCCAATTACAGCCTTCCTGGAATGCTGTAAAACTTCAGCACCATTTGAGGAGGGGTCCGGGGAATTTGATCGTGTCTGTACCTCCGATCCTGCCTTCCTGTAGAAGCAGCTTTTCTGCAGGGACTTGAGTCTCAGAGGGTCAGAAGAGCGAGAGGTGCGCCCTTCCACCATCTATAAGCACTGGTATGAAGGGAAGCCAACCCATCAGCCATGGAGGGAATAGGTGCCCACCGACTGGGAAGCACTCTTTGCTCACCTTCCTTCAGCTTGGTCACTGAGGAGCCCACTTGGATGACGGTTCCCGAAGCTTCGTGGCCCAGCACCATTGGGTTCTTCACCACAAACTCCCCGATCCGCCCGTGCTGCCAGTAATGGACGTCAGAGCCACAGATCCCAACCGAATGCATCTTCAGCAACACCTCTAGCAAAGACACATTGGGGAGTGAAACCTCGGCTCAGAAATCTGTTATCCGCAGCATGAAGGCATTAAAGGCAATCGACCCAATCCAGAGTTGGCTGGCCGTAAAGGTAAGCCCTCTGGAATCAGTAGGACTTAAGTCAGCAAATGAGGTTACGTCCCACCAGTGTCAAGGATGACGACCAAGGAGGCAATCTAATGCAAGCTGAGGTGGAAACAAGGATCCAAGAATGACTGAAGATGCAAAGAGGACCACAGATGCAATCCTACGCAAAATCAGGCAAACAAGGCCTACAACTCCCATCATGCCCCACCACTCCAGGCCTGTGAGTTGCCGCCTTTTTTATTCCCTTTACTCGTGTAGTACTCTGCGGTGTCCTGCATTGAACCCCAATGCCAAGAAATGAATAAAAAGATAAGGAGTTGGCTTTTAAATATTTGTGTTTCAAATTATCTGCCAGCAGTGTTGATATTTCTTTTCCTGGTCCTGCCAGCAGAGTTGGCAGAACATTTCAGTGATACGGTATCAAGGGCAGAAAAGTCTGACCTGTGGCCGGCTGCATTTGCCTGCCGTCCGCTGCGGCTTCTCTCCCAAATATCTTGTTGAGTCACGGCTCAGCCTTTCTTGCACACGCTCCCTGTCTCCGCGAGGGTGGCCACTTTCTGGACACAGGTCCCGCTCGCTTTACAACTGCCGAGGCTTTCTGCCTCGCACCGTCATTGTCAGAAGTGCTGAGCAAGCATACCAGAGTGGGTGGAAAGTAGACAGGGAGTGTGGCACAGCGATAAGAGCTCGGGAGTGGGGAAACCAGGGAGGACTTGCCACGGCCTTGTAGCGAGAGGCCTTCCAGCGCCTGGCACCCTCAACCCCCCAGTCAGCTTGTTTCTGCAAGACGTACGGCATTAATGAGCCCACGCTTCCAACAAAGCTCATTTGAACGCCCTGGTTTTTTCCACTTTGTCAAACTGTTGCTGCACTTTTATAAGCTGTTGCAAAGCACCTGAGGATTTCTAAAGCGGAAAACAATAGGTATATATTTTCTAATGAATAAATAAAATAGAGGGTTGCATGTTTTTAATTCACACACAGAATAGCAACTAGTCGATAGAGACCTACCATTGGGGCCAGGTTCAGGCACTGGTCGATTTTCCTGCAAGGAAACAAAATAGGCAAAAAAATCAGCTCTTCTGCTGTTTACTCTGTTATCAGGATTCTGATAAGGCCAACTGAGGCAGAAAGCAGCAAGCAACGAGGGGATCGGAAGCAGACTCCGTCTGAGCACATGCTCAGGCTGTCGTGTTCTTGTGCCCAGTGATGGCAAACTCTAACATACCAGGAACGTGGAAGCAGAAGCAATGAGTGCCTATTCAGGAAGGGCCTTTTCAATGGGGGCACCCCAATTGTGAAATGCCATACCCAGAGCGGATCACCTGGTGCCTATACCGTGGCCCTTTCACCTTTGACTTCTCCCAAGACCCCACTAATGACGCTCTAAAGGTGCCATGACATTCGAGGCCAGAACTGGCCGATCTGGAACTGGGGAGCACCTGGGCATGCACAGTCCAAACTACTGGCCATCCTGTAATCTGTGAAGACCACGCCGAAACCTTCGATTTTGGGGCATGAGCCATGCTGCTGGCCTCTTTTGCATGTAAAATAAACGGCTTAAGTCTCTACTTTAACTAAACTAAAAATACTACAGTTTTTAGATAAGATTGCTTCCCTTTTCCCCTACTTTAAAGGAAATGTGCACAGTGCAATCGTAAGGCAGTTTATTTAAGTTTAATCGCACTGTATCCAGTAGGGTTTGCTTCCAAATACGTGTGCACAGAGTTAAAGCACATGATCACACCAGACAGCTCAGGCCTGTGCATGTTTACTCGGAAGTCTCACCGTCCACAATTAGAGGCAGTGTGGTGCCCGGTAGTGGTTAGAGCACTGGCCTAGGATTCAGGAGATCGGGTTTCTAGTCCTCAGTGAGCGACTTGGGGCCAGCCACTGCCTTGCAGCCTGACCTACCTCACAGGGTTGTTGGGGGGTGGCAGGGAGAGTAGGAGGGCCGCTCGGGCGCCGTGCAAGAGGAAGGGAGGCGGGATACAATGCGCCGACCCAGCAATAAATTAGGCTCTCCCCGACGCGGCTGGGCACAGTCCTGCGCGGTTTTGGGGCAGCGCGCAGCCTCAAGGGCCGATGCGGGGCTGCCGGCTCAGCGGCGGGCCCCCCCCCCAGCGGCGCGGGATCGCGAGCCAGCCGCCCCCCGCCGCGCGCTCTCGGGCGCCCCCGCGGCCCGCAGCCGCCCCCGCCGCGGGCAGGGCAGGCAGGGCAGGGCAGGGCAGCCACCTGCCTCCGGCGCGCTCCCGGGAAGGCGAGGCGAGGCGAGGGCGCCGCAGCCTCCGCGCCCGCCGCCGCCTCGCCCCGGGACGGGTCGCGGGTCGCGCAGGGCCCGGCGGGGCTCCGGGCCAGGACAGGGCAGGGCAGGGCAGGGGAGTCCGCGGCCGTACCAGGCGCAGGTCGCCGGCTGCGCGCACCACCACCGAGAGGTTCGCCCGCGCGCCCGCCTCCTTCGCCGCCGCCGCCATCGCTGCTGCCGCCCGCCCTCCGCCGCGGCCGGCGCTTTATCCCGGCGGGGGCAGAGTCCGGGCCTGCCGGGGCGAGCGGGAGGGGAGGGGAGGCGCGCTCCCGGGCCTCTGGGGCGCGCAGGGCCGTGCGTCCCTTTCCGGCTGGGCGAGCCCCGTCGCCGGGCGCCCCCGCCCGCCCCGCCGGCCGCGGAGAGCGCGGCTCCCGCTGGGGCGCGTCCGGGCGTGCGCCGAGCCGGAGGCCTCCCGCGGCGGCCCGGCAAGGTCAGCGTGCCCTCTGCGGGGACAGCCCGGCTGCGAGCGGCCCCTGCCCGCCTGCGGAATCGCCCCTTCCGCTCCGGGGAGGCTGCAGTAAGACCGCAAGCACGACCGATCCCGCGTCCCCGGACAACAGTGGCGCACCTGAGGAGCCAGCGCGGGGCAGCGGGTGCGGGTGCTGGGCTGGGACGCGGGGGATGCGCGCTCGGCCTCACTGGGTGGCTGTGGACCATCCTAGCCTACCTCCCAGGGCTGTTGTGAGGCTGTAATCTTTCACAAGCTGTCCTGAGACGTCTGTGAAGGGACGGTATAGAAAAGCCTTAAATAAAGACAGACATAAAACGGAGAGGAGGGAAACCTCGGCACTCCCCGAAGAAGAGTGGGATGGAAATGCAGTATAATAATAATAATAATAATGAAACAGGAGACACCTGAAAAAGGAAACCTTCCAAAATCAAAGAGCAGTGGAGCAGCAACATGTTTGCCCACAGTGTAAAGGCTGATGATGAGGAAACCAACTTCTTAATTAGTCCCGGGACGGCACAAGCTGTTCCGCCACCTGAAACAGGTGGATGCACATCAGAGCAGGTCCATCGAGGGACGGATCCTTGGTGGCCCTCCAAGCAGCCTGCCCTCCTGCCACGAGCTTCCTCCCCAAGCAGGTGGCCAGGTGAGCAGCCTCTGCAAAGGGCTTCCTTGCCTGCTTTGCAAGAGGGCTTGGAGCAGCAGATGGGGGAGGTGGCCGCTCTTCCCCAGAGCCTGTTGGTCTGCATTGGCTCCCCAGGCAACGGGGGTGCCGTCCGCCACCCCCCCCAAGTCCCTACCTGAGCAAGGGATGCGCCCTGCCTGGTGTGGGGGCCAGCCTGGAGGTGCCCCAGCTAGCGTGTGCACATGAATGGGACGGTCCGCCAAGCGTCGCAATCTCAATGTGCCGGTCAGGCACCCACGACCCTTTCCAGGCAGGGTCTGTTTGAAGCCCTCTCCTTTTCCCTTTCCATCCACCCCTTGTCACTGAATGCACCCAAACTGAAGCTGATCTTGCTGGAAATGATGTTGCCAACATCTGTCAGTGGCTCTCCGGTATCATTCTGGTCCTCACATCTGCTCTAGAGTACTTGTTTGGGGGGGGGGTCAAGGGGTTTCTCTCCCTAGAGAAAGAGCTACCGGATGATTTCTGACTCTTCGTTTTTGAACTAGAGCAGCCTCAAAGGGAACCCCTTTCGCTGACTTGGGCTGCTGGGCTTAGCAGGACTGGATGTTGTTGTAGAAGGAATGTGGATTGTAGTTTTGTTCTCAGCGCACAAGTTCCTGGACTTCGAATTCTTCCACTGTAAGTGTTCAACATCTGCACCAGGCTCCAACGGGTGCATTTTTGTGTCTAGTACAAAACAAAGCAGCCCGGCACATCCTGCATCCACAGGGAAGGAGCTCAGTAGAAGGCAAGTCTTGACTCGCCCTCTTGGCGCTCACCTAAACCGCAAGCCATCAAAGGGGGCGTCTGCAGGTTAATCCAAAGAGCCACCCGCTGACTTGACACCTTTGGGATGGTGCTTAAGGGACAATCGGATTCCAAAAGGCCGAGTAAAACTAAAACCACGGTGTGAACTTCAGCCTAAGAGCAAAAGGAGGCCTGTTGCAGCTGGAGAATGATCTACTGGCAGATCTTGAGCTGAATTTCATTTGTGTTAGCTATTGGCGCTTTTAAAATTTGGTTTCAAAGTCTGTGGGGTACGTTTTACGATATTTTACTGTTACCTGTATTTTAATATTGTATTTCTATTCTATTTTATGAACTGCAGAAAACCACCCGCAGAGCTTCAGGTACTACACATACAGACATACTGATAACGATAATCAATACCTTCTCTTTCTCTGCACTGTTACCCTTGGAACAAGCACGGCCACTAATGCATATCCAGAAAATGTGGAAATCCGTCACCCAAAGAGAGGACTTGCATACAATTCGGGCGTGCTAATCTGGACGTATATGTTGCGTGATTACGATAGTGAGGACCGAATGGCAGTGCGTTTCCCCCAGTGCAGAAAACGGCTGCTCCGAACGCTGCTGGGCACCCACAAGGCCTCCACTCTGCCCTCATTTGGGGTCGAGTCTTCACCTGAATTTCGGACTCGTACCTTCAAACCAAGGGCTGCTGTCTTCGGCTATCCTGCTTGGACTCTGACCTCCTGCCTACCCTGGAATAGTCTCTCTTTTTTGCCCTTCTTATCGCCAGCTACCATTTTAGACCTTGTTGCCACCCTTGAATTAGACCTCATAATGCTTGTTCCTCACGTCTGGCCCTGTTGGACCAACAGCACCGCGTGAGCCTGAAATCTGTCCTAGAGCCCCTGGCAGCTGATGTATCGTGACCATAAGTTTAGTTTGCCGTCAAACTTGGCATAATCTGTAACCAGAACCGGCCCAAGCAGCAAGAGCCAGAAGAACGCATACGCTTACTCAACAAGCCCCATTCTGCGGAACTCCACCCTGACCAGGAATTTCACGGTGGTTTGGTTCCCTTTCGTGCTGTATGCCGAGTCCTTGCCCAGCTGCGCATGTCCCGGCCAACTGCAAATACACATTTCAACATACACAAGTAGTCTAGTAATTGTGAGTTCCCTGTTGCCATTTAATTTATGGCATTGAAAAACTGCTCAACTTTGCCCTGGTTTATTCCATATATTTTTTGATCACGGTTTGCACAGCGCTTCACTGGAAGGGTTCCAATCCATTATTAAAATAATAATGGTTAGATAAGATGTTCTTGCTCAAAAAATCCAGTTGGCCAAAAGCTCCACCCAGTAAAGAAAGGCCACGGTGGTTGGTATATATTGTCTGTTAAGCCTTGGCCCAGTGATCGGTGAGTTCCAGGAAAATATGTATATTGTGAAGGCGCAGGAGTGATTTTAAATTAAAGGTGGCACATTGTCCTGCTCTCTTGTAAAGGCCCCTTTTTTCCGGTGTGGTCACAAGATCAGGACGAGTTGTTGCAACCAACGGAATTAGCTAATACTGCCTCAGCCGTTCTCCAATTCAATTTGAGTCTCTGAGGGATTGCTCAACATTTACCTTGTTCTCTAACCCCCACCCAATCTTACCTCTTTCCTGACTGTTTCTGTGACATGAGCCGGCTTCATTATATCGCCATTTAGCTGCTGCTTCGACAGCCAGTTTTAAATCCTATTTTTCAGCATATTAATATTGCTTTCTTAATCAAATACAGGCCTCCTCCAAAAAGGATTTGTGTTCAGTATTTCTGATAAAGCCATAAATAAGTTTTTTAGCTATTCTTCAGCAAAAGCCCTCAGAGCAGACTTTGATAAAAATGTTCATACATGGGTGTATTCATATACTAATGGTTGTTTTATAATACTACCTACAGCTCTCTGAACAAAAAAATTAGACTGCAGTCTAAATATACTCTGGTCATCCCAAATACAACTTTGCCAAAAAGGGATTCAGGTCTCTCCACAAATAATATTTTTATTGTACTGATGTTGTCTTACAAACTATTACACTGTGATGCAAGAACAAATACTAAAGGGAATAAAGGAAAAAAAGAAAATTAGATGGTAAGCTCATAGGCATGAATCCCCAAACTTGGTGACTGAGGAACACCGGGAGCTGTAGGATCTCTTCTCTCTAAACATGTATAGGATTGCACCCAAAATCCCTTTAAAAATGCCTGACGACCTGAACTGCAGAGTCTGGCTTTTGCTCCGATTCCTCTCAGCCCTTTCTCCATTCGCTTCCTCATTTCAAAGTGTCTGCTTGTAGGCGTGCAATGAGGGAAGGTATCAGGAAACCTGGTCTGGCTGACCCTGGACTTCAACGCCACGTCTGCATGAATAGCTAAGTGCCGGAGTTAATCCTAAATTAGCAAAGATGGCCAGTGACTAATAAGGAACTACTTAAAGAGAAGCAGATGACACCAAACATAAAAAAGGAAATGTAAACCAAAGAGGAGCTAAAGGAATCTGTCATGAATCAGTCTCTAGAACCAACTATTTAGGGCTTCAATGTTTCATTGCCTAATTGAGGAGGTGCCCAGCCTAAACTCTAATTGCACACGACTGTAAACGTTTTTCTCTAGATGACTGGCTGGAGCTTACAAAAAGTCTCTAAAGCCTTTAAGGCCGCAGCTGCATTGCCGGTAAGTGCCCCAGTCCCTCAAACTCAGCGGGCTTAAGCAGAGACAGAAGGACAGACGGTGGATCGAGATCTCCTGGTGGCTTGTAATAAATTGGCAAGGATTTCTGGCTCCCGGTTGTTTAAGAATAGCAACACCTAAAAAAGCTCTCCCTCCTCCCAAGTCAGGTGGTGGAGGGACTGGAGAAAAGCTCTGGATGAATCGGTGGCGGGGTTGCAGGAAGGTCTACAAGATCTTGGGCTGAGTCCCAGAGCTCTGGGAAGGCACCTGCCCCACCCTCCTGCCTGCAGCCCTTGGGCATTTTCTATTTTCATCTGTATTATTGTTTATGATTGTTTATGCTGTGAGCTGCCCAGAGAGCCTTCTGGCTGTGGGGCAGGGTACAAATGCAATAAATTAATGAATAAATACATACAGAAAAGTGACTGCCTCTCGCTTTCCTAAATGCCCCTGTAAGTGCAAAGATTTACACAGCTGGTTATTCATTAGTCAGCCCTGTCACTCCATTTATCGCCACATCTCTCAGTGAGTCTCTCAAGTTAATAATAATTGTATCCAAATTGACCACAAATCCATGCTATCCACACAACTTAATGATTACTCATACTTTAGCTGTTAATGGAGAATAAACTTGTAGG